GACGCATTTGTATTGTGATTTGGTATCGAAATTCGTTTCGTGCTCCTTAACTTGTATGAAACGTTGTTAGTTGCCACTGCCTTTTGGAATGCGGCGCAAGATATTCCGCTGGGTTTCCAATTCGGTTCTGGTAAGGGCTCAACTCTCGCAATTGTGAACATTTCTATTAGTATGGATTCTGATTGTAGACTTAAATCCAACGTTCATTCTAGATGGATAAACTACGATACGGAATAACTCCCATTTTCATGTGAATATATTTGGTTTTATCGTGTGATTATTAACAAAAAGAGAAAATTATTAATTTTTAATATGGTCTCTAACATTGATCTGTTTCAGCTTCATAGCCATTCTGTTTGCAGGTAGAGACTTGTTCTGGAATCAATAGATTTTGCTGGTAAATTTACGGATATTCAAAATGCACGTTGTTTTTTGTAGATGCCGTGATTCGTATGGTCAAAGTGGAACAAGAGGCACAAAATACTGAATCGCACACTCATGACATGCGCGTAGACATTAATGCAAGGAAATTCTATGCACAGCGCAACATGTACGTGTCAGGTGTCTTGTCGTTAAATGCCAAATACGATGGCTGATGTATTATTTTATAGGTATTTGACGGGATTCACGCTATTCCTTTCATTGTAAGTGTTAATTAGGATTTTGCAAAAATGTATTTTTCAACATTTCACGTTCTGAAACTAAATATGGTAAATATTTTTACCCTATAGAATCCTCAATCGAACTCATGCTCTTATCCTGGACCTGTTGGCGTCCGAGGAAAAATTAGAGACTATAAAGAAACAAGCTGCTGATCAATCCAAAGAACGTCTACGTCTCAGTGATTCTGAGTCTCAACTGCAGGAAACTATCGAAAATCTCCAGAAAGAACTCGAAGAAGAGAAAAAGAAAAGCAGGGACTTTGAGACATTGAAGAAACAAGCTAAACAACAAAGTGAAGAATACCAGCGTATGGCTGATGAGTACAGCAAAGTAACAAAGGAATTAAAGCAAAAGGATGGCGAAGTTGATAAAACCAAATAATAAGACCGTTATTATAGTTGATGAGGCTTTTCTTGTCATTCTCATATGTATGCAACGATATGTTGTGTGAGTTTATTGCTTTCTACGTTCATGATTCTAAAGTGTTTTTATATATATAAACGAAGATTATATTTCTTATGTTTTCACGATGATGGTATTACGAATGTCAGCGTTGTCTAAGCTAATAAGCGAACAGTTCCATCATTCCCCGTCTTTTGGACTGCTCTATTTTTTAAAAATCGTCTCTCCTATTATATAAGACTTTTGCATTTCATTTCACTGACTCTCGATCGGTTAACTTTTGTAAGTATCATAAAGAAGATCTTTCTCCCATTCTCGCTCACCTTGCTACTCGTCCGTTTCAAACTTGTTGATGCCAAACAATCGAACTCTATGTAGCTGGGGCAACTTGGCGATCAAAACGATTAATAAAGCAGTAAAGTTAATCATAAACGTAACGGCATCGTAGAACGTATAATGTGTACTGAGAAGGAATCTATGTACAAGAAAGAGACGGGATATGAGTGGAAATTTGCAAACAAAGCAAGCCGCAAAGAAAAAGTCATAAGATCTCACAGAACGGTTGGGACAGCCATCAAATACTTCTTTGCAGGTGTAAATTGTGCTCCGTGGTCAATTTGTTCCCACATAGTCAAGTTATCGTAAGCGCCAGAGTTGAATTCCCATGGCACTCCCTTTACCCAATGAAACATAAGGAAACTGCCCTGTCGACAGCATAAATGAGCTTTATGTGATTTGTAGAGGATGACCATGATTTTTATACAGTAAAGAATTTGGCACCTTACCACCATATACGACAGATTAGTTAATGTCCAGCTAGCCTCCGATGACACGCCAGGAATGCTACTGAAAAGGATCTTTACGCAAAAGATCAAAAAGATGTGAACTACCCAGGCGCCTGTATGTAATGTAAAGATCAAAATTGTTCGAGCGACAAGTAGGTCAAACAAAATCTCCAGTCAAAGGACAAGTTCGAGTACTACACACACCAGGATAGTACACCCAGTCAGAGTTCAGGTTGGGTAACGCTGACTGGTCGAGTGTTTCATCGTAGGTAGCTGGTTTTTCGGCAGAAATGAAACTTCGAGAACGGTTTCTGGACATTATTCTTTGGTAAACACCCCCCTTACTAACATTGAATGTTCGCTTTAGAATGTATGACGTTACACGAGTCTAATGTGATGAGTTTACGTAATAGGAAATTATTCGTGCATTAGCTTTAAAAAAACATTTCTGTTACCGAGTTATACAAGTGTTAAGTATTAAAGACTTTCTTCGATATTCAAATTCAATTTTATTGATATTCAATATGTACTGCCAGCTGATTTGTCAGTGTAACGGTTCTTTCAACTCGCATCTTATTGGAATTTACAACAATGACAAACCCCAGAACGAAAAGAAAGAACTCGGGAATATTGTGATGGTCGTTGGAAGAGAAAGAGTTGACGCACAGAGAAACGCAAACAAAGTACATATGTAGTAGAAAATCAACCAACTTAACCAACCATTTACTGATTAAACGTTACACGAATAGCTTGGACGCGTCTCAAATCCGCGTGCAGTTTGGGCAACGCAAAAGCTTCTGTCATTAACATCATTAGAGCTTAACACAAGTAACTACCAAAGTTTCAGTCTTATTCCACTAATTGCGTTTAATGAACCTGGTTTAAATACTGTCCATCATACAACACCCGTCTCCGCCCACGATCTTATTTCACTCAAGTCGGTCCAAATAAAAGAAAACCTAATGGAGGCCTTTTTCACGACTTTACAGGAATTCGCAGCATCGTTAGTCGTTCAGACACGCGAATTAAATACCGCTCTCTCGACTCCCGCGTTGTCTCTCTTGCATGGACGCCAAGCAGAGTCACTTGGAGAATTTTCCAAACAAGCGAAAGCCTTACTGGATGAAGCTCTCGAAGTAGAACGAACACCGAATATGAAATATCCAATTGGAGAATTTTTTAACATTGCTGAAGAGGGATATAGGAAGGTAAGGAGCACGATACGCGGATAAAAATTATTGGTAGGCTTGAGTTTGTATCTCCAAGAGGGCGCATTTGAACAATCAGAATGTTTGTGATGCAGATGCAAGAGAACATTACGATGCTCGAGGAAACTCTGAAGGATTTCGGCTACGAAAAAAGACCTTTAGAGGAAGGAGAAGGAGAACGATTGGCAGCTAATTGCAATTGTCCTGATCCTACGTCATGCCAAACACATTCCGGAACCGCCAACATTTGTAACGCGACCGCATTTAACTCCAACATACTATTATCCCGACCCCAATCCCAGCTGCAATCTCAATCGCTATCACAGTCTTCTCTTAATCCTTTTAGAGCATCTTCCATCGATTTGATTCCCGCAACAGACCAAAAAACGCCTCGTGAATTGCTTACGCCGCCAATGAGAAAAGTATTTGCAGAAGTAAATTTAAAGAGTCCGACATTGGAGAGTTTGGGAATATCTAATCAAGCATTGGCCTTGATCAGGGATGGTATGATGGTAATTTGCTACGAGAATGATGTTAGGTGCCAAATGCGAGCAGAACAGTAGTGATAATATAATTGTCTTTTCCCTTTTAGAACCGACGCCTATGCCTGAACACGTACTAGATTGGAACGATATAACGTAATTTCAGATTAGGTTACATCCAACGCCATTAAAGTTTTCATTCCTAATAATATATTTCAATTTCAATCAACTCTGCTTTACTCGTCCTTTTATGCAGAAACTCTCCAAATCTCTGCGACGTGCGCACACCCACACTTGAGAAAGATCCTCCTCTTCGAACGTCATCTCATTCCACTAATTCACTTACAGAAAGCGGTGAATTGCTGAGAAGACAATTAGTTTATAAGGATGGAGATAAGTCAAAGTTAGAATATTTGGAGATACGAAAAATAGATCCAGAAGAGTTTAAAAAGCTGGGATACTTTTGTCAGCAGACTAGTTTCGAGGTAAATTGAAGATAGTAGAATGATGAGTTAAAGTTTATCTTTGACATGTTTTTTATTTTGCTTTCTGTAGCGTCTTAATAATGTTGTTATGGATATAAACGACATAATAAGAGGTATTGTCCTTTGAGAACAAAAAATGCGTCCGATTTTATATTAATCCAATCCAATAATTAAAAGATAAAATGAACAAAGCCCGATACGATCATGACACTGTCTGGGATGAAGTCACAGCGGAAGAACTAGAAACTGACATTGGAATTGGTAGATCTTCTTAGTACGTGCAAGTTACTTTGTATTTCACGACTATGCTTACGTTTATTATTTTTACGTTTGCAGGCGTGTTAGAATCTCGTGAAAAATCAGCAGTTTTGTTGGCCTTGATGCAATTAGGAAGAATCGAAGTACGTGGATCACCAACACAAGCTAATAAACGATATCGTATACTGTAAAGAGTGTTTCTGTTGATAAAAAACGTCTATGGTCGTCAACAGATAAATTGGTGTGAATATTACAAGTTTCTCGAAAGTTTGTTTCCCAACTTTAGGTTGAATCAATGAAACTGACTTGCATTTCAATAAAGATTTTAGATTTTTTTTTTATTAATAAGGGTACTTCTTCTAACAGTAATAATTCATTGTAATACAATTAAAGACAAGGTTCTGTATTAATTTACACACGAGTGTGATGTATCGCTTAGCGTGTCTTTAAGCTAAAGAGTTGTATATAACGGAGTTATATTTTTATTGCACAAACAGTACAGCAGAACAATGATTGTGATGAAACTGACTTTTTTTTTTAAAAAAATTTTGGGGGATAGTTTGTTAGAGTTAGGGTAATGTTTGATAATAGAAGAGTATATGTGGGTTTCAAGAAACCCTAATACTAATACTAAAGTCTTTTTCGTTTTAATCACATGTGAACCTACAGTCGGGCACATGACCAATTTACGACTGTCCCACATTATCCATATCACTATAAATCTCCTCAATCTTCGATTTTCCTCACTTCACCCTAATACGTACACGTATTTGTCGACCTTTGCACCTACAGTTCCGGGCTCTCAAGTCTTTAACGAGAGTTTGGATGATTCCAGTGCAATAGAATGAGGAAGAATCTGTTATTAGAGGGATTTGACGTTGTGTGTATATGTTGGGTCCTGTCAAGAGGTTCAGACAATTATTAATTATTTGACAGGTAGAGAGAGAAATAGATTTAAACAAATTCTACTCATTTGGGATTGGAAGCTAGATGAGAAGAGAGCGAATACTGTATAGCAGGGTTTGATAATGATAAATCGATAGTCCTCCGTTCATCTTATTTTTAAGAGATGTGATTGACCATTTACGAAATGCAGTAGCCGTTCAAACGTTGATGCATTCTATATAACCTTTCCAGTCTTATATATATCTTGGCTGTACCGTTATCTAAGCCGTCTTGGCGAGGGATTGAGCTTTTCATAGTGAATGACGTTCGCATAACCTTTTACTTGTTATAAGAAATCCTCGTATTAATGAGAACGGGTTGACGCTATCGATTTGTGAAAAAGGTCTGCTGCTTTGCCAAATAGATCAATAGCCTTTAGCATATGGTGTTGCTCATTCAACGAATGTAGTTGTGACCTATGTATGGTACATTGAGATGGACAAGTCTTTCACATTTGCGTGGAACGAAAGGAAAAACGGACGGGTGGACAGATTGATAATTAACTACTCAAGTGTTTTAAATACTCAAACATCGATCGCGATTCTGTGAACAGAGAATTGATTAATTAAATCGAACTTGTACTTTGGCTTTATTGCTGTTGTGGTTGGACATTGCGCTTTCAAAAAGCTTTAGATGAACCTAGCACAAGCGTCCAAACAACGAAAGTCGTGTTCTTGCCACATTTTCAAGAAGACAGTTTCTCCCTCGTTGTCTAACGCCTTGCTATTGTCTTGACATAAGAGTATTTTAGAACTAAAAAATCAAATGGATTTAGTATAGCCCATTCGAAAGGAATTATGCATAAAGGAGCCTGATTTTAACCCCAGCTCTCCAATCATCGGAAAGCAAGCGGGATGAGTTGCATTACTCTTATTTCTCTTTAAAATTCAGACGAACTGCTGCCTTGTAGGAATATTCGAACAGGTTTGTATTGCCGCCTACTAGTCTTTGTCCTCTGGATTGATTCAAATCAGGCAATCACATGAATGGCTTGATATGGGTAATCCAAAAGTACAGAAATTTCTGTTAAAGCTTGTGAACCTTCGAGATCGATGTCAGGCCCCCACGAAGGACACAATTTCTGTACGACAATGTGAACATGAAATAGCATTTTGTTCTCGATACTTACTTTTGCATATTAGAAATGGTGGAGCAAAAACAAAAAGGTGAGGCGCAAAACGGCCACTCTCCCAACTCACCGACAGCAAATTGTAACAAGAGACGACCCAACAAGAAAAGAGGTCGAATTGCAAAAAGTGGTGAGGTAAGCTATACATACGACCGAAACCTGATACATTCGAACGAATTATTCCAATGTCCCAACTATCTACAATCATTTCTATTTATTCGCTTTGGAAATAGCTTCTTGTTGATGCAGGAGAAGCTCGCAAGAATAATGAACTTTGCGATGCATGTGGGACTCCAGGAACATTGATCTGCTGTGATCTATGTCCAAGAACATTCCATTTTTACTGTGTCTTTCCTGTGTTGAGCCCCAAGTCACCACCAACAGGAGAATGGTATTGTGATCAGTGTATCTGCGATCGTCATTATGAACAGATTACGCGAAATCGAGGGCGAAACCAACGACAATTGCAGGTAAATGGTTCGCCCTCTGGTTCACAAACAGGGCAACACTCGACGCAGTCTCAGAAAAAGATCGGGAGCATCAAATCACGCAAGACAAGAGAAGCATTATCGGTAGAATAAACATTTCTTTTTTCTTTTTTTACACAAGATAGGACATACTGATGAACAATTTGCGTATCTTGAACTCTCTATGATTAGAAGATAAAAGTCAAACAACCACCACCGCTGTTATCACAGCTGGAGCATTTGTTTACAAGCATCAATCCAAAACAATACCGTTTGCCTGCAGACATTGAAGAATATTTTGAAGGAGGTTAGTTGCTTATCGTAAAAGTGATTTGTCCTATTCGTCCTGCTCTTTAGATTCTTTCCCATCCCCTTGCTTACATGATATATTTATAATACAGTGACTGTCGGTACAACTGGAGAATATGTTGATGCATCAAAACGAAAACCTGTAAAATTAGAGTATGTTTTGTATGTATTAGTAACTTTCATATAAGCGAAAGATTTATAACCCTTATTTATTTATTCACAGTAAAAATAGCATGGAAATATTACCTGATTATTATCAAATCAAGGATGAACAAACGGGAAAATACATTTATTGTCATGCTTGTGGCAAGACAGCGAAAAAACCCAAGAAAATTATTGCTTGTGACTATTGCGATCTCTGGTGGCATCTCGACTGTCTTGACCCACCAATGGTCGTGCCACCTCCAATCGATAGGCAATGGATGTGTCCTTGTCATGCTGACCATTTACTGGTATTTAAAAGATCGAGTCGTTTATACTTATATATTTTGGTCTAGAACTACTGATAAACCAATCCCTTACGATTGTTATTATTGCAGCCGCGTAAACGCAAAGTGCGAGATGCTCCGGTTTCAACGTTCGGAGAATCACTGGGTTCGGATTGTGTGGGTCTCGAGGACGATGTAGTTGAATACGAAGAAGTCTACGTGAATAGTAAGAAGTATAAACTTCCGAAAAAGGGCGTTGTGATAAACTGGTTGGGACAAATGCATCAGGAGCAAGAACGTAGGCAGAGATCAAAGAGGCGTGCCGAAGAGGAGCAAGAGCACATAGTCAAAAAGATGGAAGCAGATTTTAAAGAACCAGATCCTAGTCAATATGGGCTATGGATATTAATGAAAGGGGCACTAACAGAAACAGGTAATATAAATGACGAAGACAAGGCTTGATAACAAAAACAATAAAAATTAATATTGTCAGGGTAAGTTGAAATGTGTGCTGACCATCATTTTATTAATTAATCATGTCATTAAATAGTACCCAGTCCCTTAACTGATAGCATTAAAGAAAAAAAATACATAATTAAATATACAGGATAATCTATGCAAGGAACCCTTTAGAATAAGACACGCGAATTTGGACTTCACCCGCATTCACATGTACGAGACGTTTAACAGGTCGCTTTGCCCTTTTTCTTGTTGGTTTTGAGGTTCCAGATCTCAACTCTGTACTCGATGAATCCGCAAATGACAAAGTCTCCTTTCGCACTCTTGCCTCGTTCGTTGATGGTTGATATTCTTCAGTAGTAACAGCACCCGGAATAGCGTCCGGAATAGCGCCAGGGATAGTACCCGGAACAGCGCCCGGTGGCCCATGTGATTTGACAGTCTTGATCAATGTCTTCGTTATCGTCCATACTCCCCCTTTTCCCGTATATTTTTCTAGTGGAACGAATGTCTCCCCCAAAAAATCATCTTTACCAAAGAGTTTGGATTTACAAAGTCGCAGTTGCAAACTAGAGTGAACCGGATCTCTTACATAGAAGACATACTCTGAACCAAAGTTGATTGTTCCCTTGTTACATGACGTGGAGAGCACGCGAACGCTTTGTCGATTACGTTCTTTCATGTCAGAAAATGTTAGTTGTATATAAGTCTTGCCCCCACCAGCCTTGTTCAAATTAGCAGAACTAACTTGCACGCGTACAAGCCCAACAAAATACGACTTTCTAAAGTACACTATCGGATACCACCATTTTTTCTTGGGTGCATCGCGAGTAAGAAGTCCAATGCCCAAATGACGCGAGGAAAATAACCGCATAAAATAAACGCCTTCTTTTCCTGGATCATATGTGGATGGAATCAGTATATATCGTCCACATTTGAGTTCCAGACGACCAGTTACTTCGCGGGCATTAAGGTACGTCACCTGGCCGGTGACATCGTATGTTGGCTCATGAATTCGATATTTTCTGTTTTCTTCGACTTTCAAGCACACATATCCTATCGTTAAATATTTAAATGCTTCTAGTCGTTCCATGCGTTGATCATCCTGCATCAGAGCCACTATTACAACTGTCGGTTTTTTAACCGTAATCACGTATTGAGGATTCTTGTAGAACGTTTCTACATTGTTAATACAGCCTCCCAGAGTATCCGTTCCTTCTGACCATTCACCTCGAAACATCACGCTGTGCCATCGTTTCTTGAATGAGAACAATGAAGTATTAAGATGCCGACAGATCACAAGCGTTGAAAAATTATAAATAAAGTCTTCAAAAGCCTATGTAAAATAATAAATTAAAGTTAGCTAACCCGAAACATTAAAAAATTCTCAATGGCATCGATACAATTATTCAACATACCATCCAAAAATCTCCACGTTGAGTCACTTCGCCTTTAAGCTTATTACGTGTATGAAAATTCACTGTCTCCCATATAGGAGACCTGTTTGACCAAGATCCATTCCATTCTACTTCACCCCATGGATTACGAAGCTTTACTAACAATACTTCCTTGTTTCTAAACCATGAGACTGTGACCCTTCGTAATCCTGTTATACAGTAAGCATGTCCAATTACCAACCCATTTGGTAATCTTTCTTCCGGTCTATCGCCTTCGTCTACATTTATCGAACAGCTCATAAGCCCTCCATTCTTATAAGCAATATTCATATAGATGCCAAAATCCTCATCACTCATTTTGGACAATATGCCCCCTTCCTCGCGGCTGATATCCATGATTTCCGGAACAGTTCCGGTTAAATCAACCAGCGCATCCGACGCTGATCCAGCCTCAAGAGCTTCGTAGCATCCACATAATTTCGCATAAGCCTTCTCCACTAATGAACGCCACATCTCGTCGGGATTTTTCGAGCGTGAATATATCAATTGACCATTCACGGTCGGAAGGTAATCATCGACTACAACTTCAATCCATTGTCCATAGCGATAAAATCTGAAGCGAAAGATGCCTGTATCGAATTCAAGTGCCTTTAATTCCTCATTCACGCAAAAAGTAACAACTTTCGGTCAGTTATGTGCTTACCTGGATGTCTTCCGGTATCTCTGAAATGGTATATACCCAACTTCTTACCAGGTTCTTCACTATGAATCCAATCTTGCTTTTCCCATTGTGGAATAATCTTTTGCAAGAGATGTGGATGAGCAGCTAATTTGAATTGATTGAATGCCGTGATGAGTATTTGATATACAAGTCAATACCAGTCAGTCCAATTTTGGAAACCATTCGTAAGTAATGTATCAGAAACTAACCCAAGACTCCTAATGCCTCAGCAAGCCAACAGTTTCCTATTGCACTATAATACAGAATTAGCGCTAAGATACTGGCCCGATATATATGAAAGAACGAGACAAAAGTAAAATAGTTTACCCCTGAGCAATGTCTGGGTTCAATTGATCATTTTCAAAAATGACTAAGCGTGGGTTCGAAGTAAGTTCCTGCGATTTTATAAATTAGTATTTCACATTACAAATTCAAGCGCAAATGCTGCGTTTCTCAGAGTTTACCTTGCACCGTTTCCATACAATTCTTCCTTCTACTGGTGGTTTTATCCGCCATAATGATGAATCAGCATGCGGAAAGGTTTCGTCACAGAAATTTACACCGTTTCTTGCACATTGCATAAAAATCTTTTTATAATCTTGGTTGTTGAACTTGATATATTTCGGAGACATTTCGAACTGAGTACGAATGACTAGCCCTGAACCGACATAAAGTGACGAACAGTTAAGGAAGTTTGCTTTCTATGTGTTCATGATTTAACGACTAAAATATAAATGGAGTAAGGGGTGTTGAAAATAGATTTTAGAATTGCCCTTCTTAGATCGACACTTGTGTTCATCGACTTGCATAAGCGTGCTTTTACTGTGATTTGCTGACAGATTAAATTATCGAAGAGGATAAAAAGAATATCTCCCTGTTGCTGTTCAAACTATCTTAAAGATCGCATTAGACGCTTTCAAAAGACTATTCAAAGTCAAGAGACCTTACGATAAGTGTTTACAACTGATTTGTATCTTACCATTACTATGACATTTGCTGCTGAAAATTAACTAAATTGACTAATGATTTTGGCTGTCAGAAATTTAGTACAGTTGAGAGAGACAGTGGCAGAGGGAAAAGTTCGGTTTGAGTTTAGGACTGCAGCCGCGCAGGCAAAGGAAATGTTTACAGATTGTATACGTAATGAGTCTTTCAAATATGAAATGTCATTTCTCGCTCAAATGTAAAATTTTTAAATTTATGGAAGACAATTAGAGCCAAGTCGTATTTCAAAGCATATAAGAGAGACTTTAGTGGCCTGCTAACAGAATAGTCCGATTTTTGTATTACTCTTTCGCTTTACTATATATAATGGTTCAAAGTCAGAACTATTCAGAATTTGGTTCTTCTTGCTCATCCTCAAATCTTTAAAGACAATAGGTAAAAACGCTCTCAAAGGACGCTTTGCATAAACTTTTACTGCTTAAGATGAAGCTCTTGCGTATAGTCCAGAACCAGCACGTCTTGTGTTATCGCGTGATGTGTCCGCAGTTTATGTTACGCAGTTAACGTTATCAAAATGATGCGGTGTTTTTTTCCCTGACATTCCTCGCCTGTTGTTCCATCACTTTCTGCGGTCAAGTGGCGACGCGAGCTGCGTGTTCAACGTCATTAATAATTTATTCATACCAGCCCGGATGCGAGAGTATCTCTCATTTGCAGTCTGTTCGCTAATGATGTAAGATAATATTAAGAAAGAGAAATACAATCCGTTAGAGCAAACTGCTTCAAAAAAAGGAATAATCAACTGCTTCTCGGAAAAGAAATCAGCAATAAATAATAAAATCAAGGAATACGAACAAAAAAATAAAAGTAAAAATAAATAATAATAAAATAAAATAATATAATATAATATATTTTCTCGACTAAATCGTTGACCTAATTCCGTTATCTGGAACAAATGTAGCAATCTAAAGTTGCCTCGGTATTTGTCAGCTGCTCTAATGGCCAAGGTTTAGCAACGAGTATGTAGTCTAGTATTACCTCGGTGGCTCGTTACCTGAAAATTTATTAACCGCTTGGCAAAAGCACGATATGTAAATTGTATTTTCTTTCTTAAGCATAATTTGTTTAACTCCTCGAGCCAAAGCCGCTGAACGCTCTGAATTGAATCGACTGGAATATTTAAAATAATTATCTGCCGTGCAAAGTTTCGATAGATTCAGTCTGTAATTTCCATGGCTGCCAGCGCTGAATGAAAATCTACTCGCGGAACGAATGGCGAAATGTCATCATTTGAAGTAGACGACGGTCGTTGAGACATTTTGGTAGTCATAAAATAGGATAAATACGTCGCTGAACAAAAAGTAAGATAGACGTGTGCGAGCTAGAGTAACGAATGTACGTGAAATTTGACGCTGAGAGAGAATTTTATAGCAACAAGAAAATGGCTCCGCGGTTTTGTTTTTATTGGCGTAAACGTTAGCTTTTTTATTAAAGACCTTTTCAACTTTGTTTTTTTCTTATAATTTGAATGAAGGGTTTGAAAAATGATAACCAAATGATCGGCGCCCAAAAACCGTCATACCCGATGCCAATTATGCAAACACAGTACTTATTGTAACACGTGCATTTAAAGTTTAAGAAAAGGTGTTACTATTACTGGTACACGATATTTTGTGGTTGCAAGTAAATGACTATGGAGCTGTACTAAATTTATATCGCGGTTATTAGGCTAAGTATTATAATGATTTACGACCAATAATAAAAATCAAATGTCTATGTATCTTTAGCGACCACCAATAATAAACATGTATTCTATGAAGCAAATAAACAAGTCACATGGTAAATTCTTCCTCCCACAGTCGCAAGGTAACCAAATTTAGGTTTGCGTTCTTGGTACGGTCTTTGTCTATATTAATGTTAGCAGAGAGATTTAACATGACAGTATTAGTATGATACATTTACTATTATTATCGCTTATTAGTTAAGAATAAATATGTCCGAGTTACATTTCAAACTTTCAAATGCGCTTTGTTAGGGAATACGATCTATTAGGCCCCAATATTAATCTTTCTACATATGACTACATGCACGAATTTCTGAACAGTTGCCGTCATTGTCAATTCGTGTCTTCGCTGTCCTAAAAATGTTGGCCAGCAATTCATTTAAAGATGGGGTGAGTAAAACAACCAATGAAATTGCTCCGTTTAGTTTAATAACATATTCCCTATTTTATATTAAATATTAGGTACAATTATTCATTTAATCTTGTTGTGTATATAAACTCAGAAAATTAATAATACAAGTTTACATGGCGAATAAAATAAGGAAACGCCTTAAGCCTCCCTTTAACAATCGAGTGTACTAAAGGGTGGAACTGGAGCAATACCAGCTAGTTCGAAATTTCCTAGTTTTTGTCGTCTGATGCTATAATTATTCCGTATCTTGTCACGGAATTGCGACACGGTCTGCAAGATATGAGAGTCAGCAATTTGATACGATAGAGAGAGACGGTGGCAGAGGGGAAACTTAGAATTGAGTTCAAGACTGCAGGTCGAAGGAAAACGCTCACGTACTGTATTTTGAATGTATTATATTATATTTCAAATTCTAATTCCGTTTTTATTTTTACATATGAGAAAAGATTATTTTCTTAAAAAATGCTCCTATCAATTATTAGTAATACTGTATAATTCAAAACAAGTATTGCTCACTCAAATGTAAATTTTTTAAAATTACAGTAGATCCGCGATTGACTATGCAAATGAATCTACTAATGATATTTTCCTCTTAAAGAGAAGACAATTAGAACCAATGTCTCGTGTTAAAGTGTGAGAGGTGTTACATCGTCCCATGCGAAATTAAGCGTACGGGATGAAAGTAAATGTCAAATACAAAGATCATAGTAAAGACATTAACTGCTCCACCCTTATAAATGATGAGAACCTTTGTCTATTCCATTCTAGATGTAAAATTGCTTTTACGAATATACGGAAATAGTAAAATGATTCACATTGATATCACTGATGCGAGTATTAGTGAATCGCGTCGCTTGCGAACGTTAATGCCTGCGAATAAATCTTAAAGTAAGATTAATATATACAGCGTGAGTCATTTTATGCCAACATTTTTACATTACGTACTTGCTACTCCTGCTATGCGTCTATTTGCTTTGACACAAAATCGAACAATTTCTTACCTTGTACTATACTTGCCATGATCACATGGGTATGCGTTAGCTCTGATAAATGCTGAAGAGCATTTACATCTTGATGATAATGATGATGAAGCAGTCTTTATTGATAACATTATTGATGAAGATATTAATAAATGATCTCAGAATATTCCTTGTAAATGAAAGACTTGGGTCTGGATTGTACATCACTCACATGCAGACAGGAACCTCACTGCTGGCAGTCTGAATGCATTAGTCTGATACTAGGGAGTTTAATGTGTAAAATGAGTGTCTGTTCAGTAGATGCTCATGGTGTTTTGAGGATATTACAAATCAACAAATCATACCATGGTATTATGTTGATAAACTATCAGGTTTACTACCAGTTGGTTGACATGATTGATTAATGTAATAAAGTTTGAAACATGCCCAAAGTTTCATTCCATTTTCTTCCGCCGATAAGAAGCAATTAACATTAATTTTTCAATCAGGTTTGCGTGCTGGCGAATAAATGATAGTCTCGCTATCGTCAACTTCTGGACTTTATTATCATTAATATTGGGAATTACAATTTCCTTTTTTCGTTAAATTTGGTGGTTATATAGGGGTAACTTACATACTTAGTATTAGTGTGTGGCGTGTGACATGCTTGCCATTGTCGAACTCTAATATTAAACGAAAATGTCCCACACTATCAGCTCAACCTTCCATCCCTAATTTGAGGTTCAGAGACCATGAGTTCTGCAAATAAAGCATGTGCTATTTGTTGTGAGGAGCGCAATACGTCTAGTTTCTTGAAGATAACCAAGAAATGTACCCATGAGAATACTGTCTGTAAGACGTGTGTCAACACCCACGTCCAGACAGAGTTAGAACGGAAGGGGTTATTACAAATTCAATGCCCAACTGCAGGATGCAGCAATACATTGGGCCATCAAGATGTAAAGAAGCTCACCATCAAAGCTGTTTTTGAGCGGTATGCATACGATATCTATCATTACATGAGTGTTTAATGTACATGTGATTGATTCGCGGTTAGCCTAGAGGATGTACTTGAACCCAGCGTTAAAGCGAAAGGGAAAAAGATATACAAAAAGCCAACCAATAGAAAAGCATAATTTCGATTCAATAAATTTATTAAGACAAACCAGATAAAGTAATATAATTAATCATTTCGACATGGCAGATACGACACATTGTCTCTAAATCAGACTCTTCAAAGTTTTCCTGACTTTCGCTGGTGCAAGAATTCCAAATGCGGGGCGGGACAGATTCACTTTGAGAGAGGTATTCTACGTAATTTGCGCAAAAGACTTTTCCTTTCCGCTAAACCGTATGCCTTGGACCTTGTTAGATGAGGCACCCATCATGACATGTAATGCTTGTGGTGCCAAATCATGTTATACACACGAAATTCCGTGGCATGATGGAATGACGTGTGACGCTTACGAAGAGGCCAGAAAGGCGGCTGAAAAGGCAACAGAGGATTATTTACAACGGGGGACCAAGAGCTGCCCTAAATGTGGCGTTCATATTGAAAAGAATGGCGGATGCGATCATATGGTTGGTGTTTTACGAGTCTACTATTGTCTAAATGGGACAAGAAAGACATAGATGAGGAGTGGGGGAAAAAAAAGATGTTAATCGAGATGTTACTATGCATTTATGCTTACCGTGACTTTATAGACGTGCCGAGTCCCAAAATGCAGATACGAATTTTGTTGGCTGTAAGTTGAAATGCATTGTCGTGTATGGATAAATATTGGTTTGGCGCGAGATGATTCGTATAGCTAATACGTCTTTGTATACCGGTTAGATGCTCAGCCGATTATAATGCAATTCGCAAGAACGGGAATAAGGAGCATTCTACTTCTTGCAAGTATTATGCTTGACCCCTCCCCCCTCACTATATGAGAGCGAGATGTTGAGCGATTTTCCAGTTAAATTTTTAAAGCAAAAGTTTCCACGCTGATTATCTCGTTAGTTAGTTTGACTAATCCCCCCTCCCCTCTCTCGTACTCTGAGATATAAATAAAAGCTTCTCTTTTTTAAATCAGTTATACATGTTCAAAGTTCGATCTTTGTAAGAACAGAGTAGATACGAAAGCAAGAGATGCAAACGCAGATGCAAAGTCGTTAATAAAAAAAATTAGGAATCGAGCTAAACCTTTTTTGGTTCTGAAGAGGGATGAAAATGGTTCTATAGCAGCCAAAATTTTGCCCATTCTGTTTTGCCACGTCCCAAACATTCTCAGTAAACATCGTTTTCATGATTTCATTTTCCGCGATCATCGTCACTTGATGCATCTTGCAGATCTCTGCTATTGAGATTGTAAAATTCAGTAAAAAAAAGATTGATCCTTTTTTCACGAGAGAAAAAAGCAGCAATTTTATGGACTAGTCAAGAGATAGTTTATGCATGTTCAGTGTAGTACAATCAATCGGGGCAAACAAATGTTAAGTTGTGAACAATGATACAGAGAACCTGTTACAGACACGACAGCAATTTGCAGGTTCTCGAGAGGAACGTGTGGAAAAATTTTTTATCGAAAACTGAGATTGATTGCTTTGTTACCTACTTGACTCCACTCTCATATCCAAATACCCTCAAGATTTGTGGATATTCCCTTTAGAAAAAAAAAAAAGGCACTCTGTATTGGTCACTCAATATCTTTTCACACTAGAAAACTAACTTCCAGTCTGACACGTATGACAGAGTCACAAGTAAGGGTTATTCGTTGGATGTTGGATTTGATAGATTATAAACAAACACACAGTGAGTCTATGTGAAAATGCGTTTATTCACGTAGACTTGCTCACGCAGATGTCGTTAACTACCAGTCAACCTCATCAAGAACACGACAAACTGAAACAGAAGAAGTGAATATTGAAATGTATGATCTCGAGGCTGGTCCTCTGGCTGAAGGGAGTGCTAATACAAACGCAAGGGCGAGTATGAGCTTGGGAGGATTCTTTAAAGAGGTTAGTTTGTTGGTGTGATAATAAAAAACACGACGGAAAAGGAGAACGAGAAACGAGAAACGAGAAACGAGAAACTTAAAGATGCATTCTCACCAAAACGACGACTTCTATTCATTCATGATTTTCTTGATTTTCCAAGGTTAATTCGATACGGGATATGATTCGCGCAATAAGAGACAACATGTTGGCCATCGCAGATTTATATCGAAGAACAATAGACAATATCACAGAGGACGAGAGCATGAGTTGAGTTTTATTTTACTACTCACCATGTATGCAAGATCCCATATGGACTAGTTTTTGTAACGGAAGCATGGTACGATTGATTATCCATAGGAATGTCGCGACAGCTTGGCTTGTTCGTCTCGGAGACCAGTCGTATTAGTCTTCAAGTGGGTCAGAAGCTAAAGCGTAAGTCTAGATCCAACAGGGCTGTCATTATTAGGACGATATTCTATAATTACGAATCTGAACTTTTTCTTTCTCTCTTTCTCTCTCTCTTTTTTTTTTCTCTCAACTCGCTCGATTCATGAATCCAATATTACAGTCATGGAGTTTAGTAGCAAGTCTTTCTCTCCTGGACAAGATCAGACGCAAATGCGGGTCGCTCAGGTACAATTTCTGCAATGAGAGATGATCAATAGGTGTTGGGAGATTTTGAAAATTGTACTCGAACAGAGTAAAGAATGACAGATTGAAAAAAAAATATATATATATCATGGCTAAATATATATTAAGATTAGTGTAAGGGTGTTATTAATATCAAAGTGCTACGATGATATATCATGTGTCTGGGTGTAACAGGATTGTAAGCACGTTAATCACCAATCGCAATGCGCGTTTCGCGTGTGGTCTGTGTACCGCTGCGCTTTTTCTCATTGCTAATCATTGCAAATATGTCTAAAAAAATAATAGTACGCAGCATTGGTGAAGCAATTTATGGATACGATGTCGGAATATCGGCAGTTACAAATAGAAAACCAAACCAAGTATAAGAATTCTATTACACGATTGCTTTATTCGGGTAAGTAATAAAAGATCAAGGCGATGGTGGGCGGGATAACGGACAATTATGTTTGGACGTGTATTTACATTGTTTATGGTGATTTACAAGTTTGGTATTAGTGTCCCCGAGTTTGTTACAGTTATTCTATTAGATAATATTGATCCGAATATACCATTTTTCCAAGTTGGAACACTCTAAAATCAATGTAGAATTTCTTTTTGGAAATCTGCATGGCGTTCGTTTCTGCGCACCAATTGCGTTTGACTTGCGTGTTATCCGTTCTTTATCTTCTCACACCCTTCACCTTTCTGCTTTTTAGCTAAGCCTGATGCAACAGAAGACGAAGTTTCTCAAGTTCTCGATGCTGATACCAGACAGGGGTATGCATCTCAGGTACGGGAAGATACGGGTCAAAATTCAAGAATTCGATGAAATCATGTCTCTTACATCCTCAAACTTTAGATTCTTTCTATCAACGGATCCAATCAGGGCCGAAGCACGATAATAATGGATCGGCAGAGGGATATAGCGAGCATTGGAAAGTCTATCAATGTATGAATAATGCAAAGAAGAGAATAATATATACTATGCATCTTGATTTATTCCTATTGGCCTTTTCTTATTATTATAGTAATCGTTATCTGAAACATGTTATTATCGATCTCATCGTCATACCTTTACCTTAATCGATCGTTCGTTCCCTTATTTGTCTTTCTGTATAGTGAAAGACTTCTCCCCGCAATACATATATATATATATATCGTTCTTCATAAATCCGTTTAATCATTCCGATTGACACATATCAATCCTACTCGATTCTTTGTATTGCTTATAGTAGATTATCATATGTTCGCAAAGCCACATCATGTCAACTTTCTAAACGGGCTCAAGTGACGAAAATCTTTCGTTCTGTGCATCTTCTAATCTTCTAATCTTTATTTTTTTTTTGACCCCACTCCCCCACTTTTAGGAGCTAAACAAACTATTGTTAGAAATGCAAACCTTGGTGATTGAGAAAGATACTCCGGTTCCTACACCCGATGATCGTTCAATTCTACAGATTGAAGCGTCAATGACAACCGATAGAGTACCCGGGCCGTTGTCGGCTGCTGATAAGGTTAGGCGGGTGAGTTTATAAATGAGGTATATTCGGGGGATAACTACGATGATGTAAATATGAGATGTTGAATCTAACCGATTTCTACGGTTCTTCTAACCAGAAAAAGCTGACGATTTTTTTCCTAATTGTTCTAACTCTGGTAATTGCTGCTGGTATTGTTTTGGCTGTTGTTCAGCCTTGGAAATAGTCGGACAATTTGTACGTAATGGACAATGTTTTATACCGGTTAGGTCATCAAGCCTATAAAATAAGGATTATTTAGATGCGTTGGATCTCTATATTATCTTCCAATTGATTATGATTAGACATTGAATGGGGTGACATTTGATAAGGACATTTTATGTAATTTTATTATTTTTCCTTTTTCTTTTGTAATGGCAAATCTTGGCAACCGCAAAGTGTTTGTTGATGTAGTTACGCTTAGTTGCTAGTGTTTGGTGTACGATTATAAATAGGCAAAAAATTGATTGCTCTATCACGTGATTAACGTTCAAAAGTGGCTATAGATAGACGCAGCCCCTGTAATATTAACAATAATAATGTTTAAATTCACATGCATTATTATTAGATTGTATCACGTGATAATATGAAAAGATGGTGGGATGCTTTTCTCGCTTGCCAATGAATACCATTTCTGAATCCAGAAACATATGACGAATTCGTGACAAGCACGAGTGAAAAGCGAAGACAGAGACGGAAGAACGGAAAAAGGATATGTTCTAATGCTAAAACAAGAGATAGGGGCAGAAGAACCTAAAAGGAGCGAGGACGGTTGATACGAGATGGGGGGTGATTTGTGTTGTCTCATATAAGCTCTTGTTTCTCGTTTCAACTAATTAATTAATTAGCACGCGGCACTGGCACCCTTGGTGCGCGAACACTAATCATTATATGTGAACGGTGCGACAGAGATACAGTGGAGATGTTATTATTAGTACCAAAAGAATATATTAGTATATGCGATTAATAAGATGAGATTATATTAATATACACACAATATATATAAGGATTAATAATAACTATATTAAAGATAAGGAAAATTGTCCGACTGTCAGGGTTGTAATATGTTATTTATCTTTACTAATCAAATGTTTATGTTTACCAAGAATGGAGTTTTAGTTTTATTCTGTGGCACCGAACCTGACTCCGCCATAAATAATCCCTTGCCATCACCCAAGATACTTTTGGTCTACAACACCTAAACGTAACACAGCAAGTGATAACAAGTAACAGAAGTATATATATGTAATGTTTCTCGCTTATCCGAAAGCCTATTGTCGACTTAATCGGGTACCTTACCCCTCTCTGTGACGTTAAAGGATTAAACCGGTTTATGGTTTATTATTATATTAGTTTTGACTTCTTACTCGTAGTGGCGCAGTTTATTTATCTGCAGTGTAGCAAATCTGGACCATGTTTCGAATTGCAAGATTTTAAGAAGCGGGGGGAAATGGGGTGGAGAACGGCGAAATGGGGAATAATGGGAGCAAATGGGAATGGGGATGGGAATGGGGATGGGGATGGGAATGGGAATGGGAATGGGAATGAGAATGGGAATGAGAATGGGATTGGGATGGGAATGGGAATAGGGATGGGAATGGGAATGAGAATGGGGATTAATCTAAACCGGATGTGACTTTTGTAGATGATTTGGGGTAATAAATATTCATATTCTTTAGTGGTACCGCCCCGCCACCCCCCTCGAGTTTTTTAACAATGATTTCTTGGCAAAAAAACTCCAAATGGCAGTTATTGATTATTGGATCGATTTTCGTTTTATCATTCTCATCAGTTATTCAGGGTTGTCAATCTTTTTATCGGATTTGTCGAGCACATTTTGTCTACGCGAGTGGACATTAAAGAGATATTCGTTGTTGAGGTGTCTATAATTTTTAATATATCCACCTTGGGCGAACACAAGTGTATAACAACAAAGGTATTTGGTTACTCAAGCCTAAAACTGTATGTCAATGCTATTACTTCTCCTTATTATAAGCCCTTTTTTGCAGTTTTCATCGATCGATTAGAAAAGAGATAAGAAACATCTATAGTCAAGAAGTAAGATTAACAATTATATTGAAACTGTCCGAGTTTTCGTCAGAACAGTCAAAAGAGAGAATCACATTTGAATTCACAAGCTGAAGCACGATGCACATGCATAGACATTGGGGTTGACAGAACGAATGACTTATTAGGCGGGGTATGTAAAAGGGAGAAGGGGAAAAGAGTGGAGAAAGTAAAAAGTTCCGTTACAGACATTGTATATAGGATGTACGTAATGAACACGTATAAATTTGTTCTTATCCACCTTTGGAAAGCGATCAAAATACTGACTATGGGGACAAGCCATTTATCATGCATATAGTAAGCAAATAATAGGGGTAACGTTATGAACTTGGAAATATTGACTCCGAATTTATCTCCGAATGTATACTGTGTAATATGCAATTCAAAAAGACTCGGTAAACACTAATTATAATAGCAAACGACTTGTCTTTATTTTTTCAAAGCCATTCAAGTTCGTTCTCCTGTTCATCAGGTTTCGCATAATCACATCGATGCAACGATATCTCAAGCGTAATCATTTACAAACGTTGAATCTTTTTTTTTTTTGAGGGGAGCTGGGATCGTTAATTTGTTTGCCTGCATCGGAAAAATCAAATTTATAGTTCAATGTCAGTTCAAAGTAACACTTGACTACCATAATTAAAAATACTGCAGGGACAAATCATGCCTCTTCAAGGGTACTAAAGGTAAAAAAACGTTCGGAATCCAACAACCTGAGCCTACAGTCATGTGAACAAAGAGCTACTGTTAGTTAATGGCCCTCGGGAAAATCAACTTGGTTTCGGTGTAGTCGGACGGTGAAAAAAGCCCCGACTATCGGGGATCTAATGTCAGAAGGAAAAAAAAAAAGTTTTTCCTTAGTATTATTAGGACGTCGCACGGATTTTAAATTTACTGCCACATTGTTGCTTTTGTGACAGGACGATCAACATTGGTTACACTTGAAGATCTTCACCAGGTAAGAATGACTTGGTGGACCCTGGGGGGGGACTGAAAAAGCGCAATCAAGTGGTTGATATACAATTAGCAGGTAGATTACGCAGTAAGATATCAGCCAAACGTTAAATGGCTGTAGACCAGTAAATAATACCAAGTGTATTTACTGCGCCATTATAGTATAATAAAAACTTTACGCAAAAGATGAATAGGAACGTGGTTCCGTGGTGTAATGGTTAGCACTCAGGACTTTGAATCCTGTAATCCGAGTTCGATTCTCGGCGGGACCTTTGACTATTTTTATTTTGCAGACAGGTAAATAATAATAATAATAATAATAATAATAATAATAATAGTAACAACTTACGGTTTATTAACCGTTCTCTCTCCGATAACTTTCACCTTCAACAGGGGTTGTGCCTATGTTAAATTTTCCTGCGCTGTACATTATTATTATGCAAGGTTAATTAAATTGTTTCTCTGACATAATTAACAATGTCTTTCCATATTCTCTTTCTCTCTCTCTCTTTCTTTTTCTCTTTCTATACTCTCTTTCCCCTCTCTTTTTCTTTCTTTCCCCATCTTTCTCTCACACATATACACATGCACAAACATACGACATGCAACAATTGTTTTGACGCAATTTGCATTTCGTTACCGACCAGTCTCGTATATGCATTCAAATTGATATACACAATTTACATGTGCAATCACATATACAACCATAGTTATAAATTCGTACACACGGTTCGCTC